CAGAAGGTTTTGGGGTTTTGTTTTTGTTTTTGATAAACAACCTTCAAAACCAATAAGGAAGAAAAACAAAAAAATCTGAAAAATGAATTGTAACCATCTGAATGAAATAGATGACATCCCTACAGCTCCTACGGATATTAAAAATACAGTAAAGGACACCAAAAGATTTTTTTTTGTCATTAGATTTAACATCTTCAATGAAAATCTGAAAAACACAATATTTCACTGCCTGCTTCTGTGTAAAAATATATTCTTCGAAATATTGTCTTTGAAAAAGTAGTATTACACTATCTACTTCATATTTTTTTAAAACCTAGTGGTTTAAAAACTACAGCCACATAATAATTTCTCATAGTTCTGGGAATTGACCAAGTTCAGCTGGGGGGCTCTCACTGGGGTCTCCCATGTGGTTGCAACCAGAGGGAAGCCGGCTCAGGTCCTTAACAGGCTCAATTTGGATACTGGGACACCCTCTGCTTATAGTTCCAGGGCCTCAAATGTGGCTTATGTGGTCCCCCAAGAATGAAGACAGGGCTCTTAGGCTAAGGGCACAGCATCCCAAAAATATGTTTTTCTTTTTTCTTTTTTTTTTTTTGCGGTGCTGGGGATTGAACTCAGGGCCTTGTGTATGTGAGGGAAGCACTCTACCAACTGAGCTATAGCCCCAGCCCTCCAAAAATATGTTTTTCAAGAGAGGAAAGTAATAGCTGTAAGATTTCTTTAGACCCAACCTCAGAGTTGTGGGGTGTGGGACAGGTGCATGGAGTTAGTTCTGCATACATGGCATACATTAAGGGCTTCTGAGTGGCAGGCCACTCCCCTCGTGCTAGGTGTGTGAGCAGCAGGCCACTTACCCTGTAGGCAGAGCCCTGGGCATGAGGCCATGTTTTGCAGTCCTGACACTTGCTTCAGGGCCCACTCCTCAATTGGTCACTACAAGGACAGTTAGCCAGAAATTGTACTAGTGACTTCCTGTAATCTGCTTGCTCTGGCCAGCTCCTCAATTGGTCACTGCAAGGACAGTTAGCAAGAAAGTGTATTAGTGGCTGCCTATAATCTGTCTAGCTACTGCCTG